AGCCATTCAACCAGAAATGAGCCTCATCGCTGAACAAAATTTGTCGAAAACACACATTTCGAACCGAACACTGATTTTGGTAATAAAATTCAATGATTTGCAAGCGTTGCTCGTTAGTAAGTCTATTCATGATGAAATTTCAAAGCATACTGAGCATCTTTCTCTTTGACACCATGTCTGAAATCCCACGTGATCTGTCAAATACTAATGCATGAAAATCCTAACCTCAAAAAAATCACCCGTTATGTTTAATTTACTAGATGTATGTATGTATGAATGTATGTATGTTTAAATATTTGTAAGCTGATGCTTTGCATACATTTTTATTTGAGGGCACACTAAAAGAACTACGTTACAATTTCAAATGCGCTTAATACGTTTACAAATGTGCACGCGTTTTAATTTTATTTTTTAATATACATACATTCATAGCCGCAGATTTTGTCTGCCAGCAGTTGTGTTTGTTAAAGTTTTTAATTATATTTGTCCATTTAATTGGAAACGGCGATATAAACTTAGTAAAGAATAAATGAAAAAAGCAAAACCTTTTGGAATAAAATCGCGCCCAGTTTATAAGTGATTAAACTAAAATCCTTTTTGAAACTGCTTCGATTCGATACGCTGCTGCAGCATTTCCAGTTGTCTTTTTGCTTCGCATTGTGGAAAGTTCGTCATTTCGTAGTACTGTGGGGCTAAAGTGAGTAGCCATTCCGCTGTTGAAAGAGATATAACAAATATTAAGTGTTTTTGTCAATTCGTTTTCTTATTCCAACTTACGCTTAATATCTGTAACTGTTCGTATATAATTTTTCGTAGTCAATACAAATTCATTGTAGATTACCCAATCGGGTTTGTGGTCCAGGCAGGTAGACGGATGCAGCTGCACATTTTGATTGTCTTTTATGGTCAAATAGTGACCGGTGCGCTCTAAATGCGCCACCTGCATGAAGAATCCCTGCACCAACGCCTTACGTATATTGACATAATAATCTTTTGATGTGAATTCAGTGCTGCTGCGTTTCAAATTGAAACGATCCATTATACGTGCAAGCTGTTGGCGTACATTGTCAGCTGATTTCAACGAACGGAAATTTATGAAATTCTCATAAGACCAGTTGGGGTCCTCGCCACCTAGGGAAAAGTATTAAAAAAATAAATAGTAAACGAAAAAAACCACCCACAACAATTCACAAAAACCTACTCTGTTTGAAAGCGTGGTAGACGTTCAATAACGTTAAGTGATCACCGTCGATGTGTGCAAAACGCATCTTTGCCTCATCTGCAGCCTTCTTAGCCTCATTCGGACGCACAAAGCATTGTGGCACTGTGTGGTTGTTCGTGCAGATAATCAGATACAAAATTGTAACAAAGGAAGAGAGAGAAAAAGGTTTGGTTTTGGGTTGGCGGCGTCAGGGTATCCATTGAACGCAGCACAATCCCACACAAACGCAGTTGAGTTATGTTTCACAGGAAATTTGATGATTGAAGGAGAGTCCTATTTTGCTAATCAATTTTGGGCAAAATTCTTCAACTTTTTTGTATTATTTTCTATATTTTTTTAGTTTTTTGAATATTTAAGTGATTGCAAACGTCTGTTGTTAAGTGTTTAAATTTTACACCTTTCGAACAATTTTTGAGCAAGGTACGCAATTGGCAACTAAAGACATCGCCTAAATTGGCAAATAAAATTGGATTTTCGTTGAGTAATTTTGTCGTGAGTTTCAAGAGCGATTTCTGTAGATGTGCAGACAATAAGCACAAAATATTTAAACCATTTAGCATATATGTATGTACACATAATTTCGATAATTTTTAGGTAAAATAAAAATGAAAGCATGTTGAGGTAGTGGTTTAAAGTTTCATTATCGCTTGTGAAACTGTTTTCAGTGGTGAATGCAAAAGACAAATGAGTTGGAAAAATTTTTCTTTTGCATTTTTACTAAAAATAAGCATGCGACAGTCCTAAAATGTTAGTGAGATGTTGGTAAAAAAAAAATAAAAACTGATTAACTTGCTTATATACTGGGAAAAATTTTTTGGAAAAAGTAAAGAGTTTAAAAACTGTAAAATACTTTACAATTTTAATTTCAATTTACTGTGCTAAACAAAAACTAAACTTATACCCAGTAAAGAATTTTCCAGGCAGCAAGGGCAAGGTAAAGTTTTAACCATGGAAATACAGTGGTGAAAGAAATAATAGAAACTTTTTATTTCGACAAGTTTTAGCTGTATTTTCCTTTGCTTATTAGATGTCTCATATCTTTTATAAAAGTCTGGCGCATTATATAACAATCTCCATTTCAAACTTTGTACAAAAATTATGAATATTCAACAAACTTTACCAAAATCGCGCAAAAAATTTCAAACTTTCTATTCATAATTAAAAAAAAAAAATTGGGTTTCCAGTTTTATAGCCCATTAAAATTTAGTAGGCTAAAGTACAAATGCAAGACGCTAGAAAACCGTGTTGATTTTAAATACTTTTTTTTTTGCTGACGCTGCTATGCATTTTCTTCCACATATATCAGCCCATCCGCAGGGCGTATTCGCGTATAAATCCACGCTTTGCTTGAGAAGGCAGCGAAAGATTCATTCAACTGCACGGCTAGTCCGCTCGCACACAGTGAAATCAATTGGACGCACACTACAAAAATGCTCTGCAGAGGATGCCCACCTCTGCTTTATATGGAAGAAAATGCACAACACGGTCAGCAAAAATCTTAATTAATTTGATTACTTAATTTGAATAGAATATAAACTGCATACCTAAAATTTTTCTAAAAAGTAGGAAAATTTAAAAAAAAGTTAGAAAATTTGGAAGATTTTGGTAAAATTTGTTGAATTTTTATAATTTTTGTACAAAGTTTGTGCGGGTAATATATGAAACATCGAATTAGCACAAAAATGATAGCCAAAACTGGTCAAAATATAATGTTTATATTATTTCTTCAACCACTGTATATTTACAAACCGTCGTTTAAAGTACAAAACCGCATATCGTCGTTCGGCGAAACCGCTTAATTGATATTTTTTGCCAAAAAAAAATGGGTTTGCTCTCAGGAGCTGTTGGCTCAATCGTACTGAAATATACTAGCCAGAAATGCGATTGCTTTATAAAGGAGAGAACCATTTTGAAATATGAGTGTTTTTACTCTCTACTAAATAATCTATGCACCCTCTCATACGCGGTTTTGCCCTATGTTGATACGCGGTTTTGTACTTTAGACGACGATATGCATTCTTCGCGAATAATAATTCAAATTTAAACAGCGAAAGAATCTAAGAATCATAAGGCTACTCTCCCTAATAAATTTAACAGTTTGGTCGATAAATCGATAACAAATAAAAAAGCTTAAAGCACACATTTAATATTAATGTGCGCATTCTCACCCGACAGCATAGCCGTAATTGATAGTATTTCATTTGAGCAATTATGCTGACAGCTAGCAATTAACATTTTAGCCAATTGCGGATCCAAGGGAAATTCTGACATAACCGCACCCAAATCGGTTAAATTGCCATCGTCATCCAGCGCAGCCAAATAATTAAGTAATTCCAGAGCACGCATAAGTGTCTCCGGTGCAGGTGGATCCATAAAGTCGAAGTGCACCAAATCATCAATGCCAAGTTTTTTCAACTGCAATACCACGGTACCTATAAATATCAAAAATATATAAAACTATATATAAATTATCTGTTAATAACTAAACTTTAACGTATTACCTAAATTTGAACGTAAAATTTCAGGATATGTATTATCCTGCATCTCGTTTTTGTATGCCTTCTCTGTATACAGACGAAAACATTTGCCAGGACGTGTACGACCAGCACGACCTGCGCGTTGCTGGGCTGATGCCTTTGAAATGGCTGATATTAGTAAACTCTCGACACGTATACGTGGATTGTAAACTTTTTGTTTAGCAAAGCCAGGATCAATAACGAAAACTACACCATCAATGGTCAGCGATGTTTCAGCGATGTTGGTGGAAACGACTACTTTACGTCCAATGGAACCGTTTGCATTACGCGGCGGTGCAGGTTCAAAAATGCGTTGTTGCAAATTTGGCGGTAAAGTAGAGTAAAGGGGAATACATTTTAATTCGCCCACATCCGTGCCCAAGTTGTCTGTTTCACGCTTTATACGTTTGCATGCCTCCTCGATTTCCTCTTGACCAGTTAAAAACATTAATACATCACCTAAAAATATTGGAAGCGCTTGTTAAATATAATGTAACAAAATAACTACATTAATAATACCTTCAATATCTTCACACATGTGTATCTGTATGACTGTGCGTATAGCTGCTTCTAAATAATCGCGTTCTGGTTCAGGCGTATAGAAAATTTCAACGGGATGTGTACGACCTGGTACGTTCATTAAAGGTGCATTATCGAAATACTGTTGAAATTTGCCTGCATCTAAAGTAGCAGACATGACAACCAATTTCAGATCGTTTCGTTGTCTGATGACTTCTTTCAAAACACCCATCAAAATATCTGTTGCCAAAGTACGTTCGTGGGCCTCATCCAACAATATTACTTGATATTGTTCTAGCATGGGATCGGACATAGCCTCACGCAACAACATACCGTCTGTCATGTACTTCAGTACTGTTTTCGGTGATGAGCAATCTTCAAAACGGATGGAATAACCAACCTCCTCACCAAGGGTGACATCCATTTCCTCAGAAACACGTTGCGCAACAGACATAGCGGCCACACGACGTGGTTGTGTACAAGCAGTGCCCTTCTTTCCTTTTGACATGGCAAATTCAACGCACCATTGTGGAATTTGTGTGGTCTTGCCAGAACCAGTTTCACCCACCAAAACTATACTTTGGTGTTCATTCAGTAGACGCATAAAATCTGCTTGATATTCGAAAACAGGAAGTGTAATTCGCTTCTTATATAGGTTGAAATAGCGCTGTGTAAATGGTTTCAGGTTGTAAGGATTTATAGTGCCGGGCTGCCGCGAAGCGCTAGCTACACCAGCAACATGAGCCACTGGTGTAGGATTGCTAAATGCGGACGTAGTCGTATCGAAATCTCTGAAATTTTGAAAATGGGCACTTTTAACAAACAATGTACATTTTTTGCGGTAATTATAAATGTTTAGAAAAGCGAAATAAATGTCTACTATAAAAAAAATGGAGGCACTTACTTCTTCGACTTCGTGTTATACGTTTCGCCCACTTCTATACGTCTTTTCGACATTTTCTGGCTTAGCGATGTTGACTTAACTTTGCAAAAATGAAAATATTTACACAAATGCGCGTTTTCAAACGTTTAAAACAGATTTATTCCAAAAATGCAACCAGAAAACACGCGTTTATTTCCGAAAGCGCACCTTTTTGTTGCAAAGAAAAAATGCGAAGTTGGCTGTGATCACAGTATAGGCAGTAGCAAACAGCGCTGCCAACTATTTTCGAAAAAAAACAGAAAGAAAGAAGCTGAATCCAAAAAAACAAAACAGTTAAAAAATAGGTAGAAATACTTTTAAGCAATTCATTTGAATGATATATATAAATGACTGATTTTATGAAGGATTGAAATGAAGTGTATTTATAGTCTCTTTTGTGCAAAGTGCCTGTGCCAATTGATAGAAAAGTACTCCGAATTTTAAATTTTTGACAACTATGAGGCAGAGCAACTGTCAAAAATTTCCACCAGTAAAAAGTTTCGAATTGGCACTGCAGAAATGTAATAGGGAATTTACATGAGGCGATTTTTCAGGCGATTTTTAGTTGAAAGCAACAATCGCCTGGTGTAAACAGCCTTTCAACTAATCGCTTACAATGAAGTTGGTCGGCTCCCTACTTTCGTTCAACTTTTGGTTCAACTAATCGCCTGTGAAAGTTGAATCATGTAAGGATAAAGACAAAAAGCGTATCCAGTTCATTTTTCTACACCAAAGCAAGGCACATTAAACAAATAGTAGCAGTACAGTGAACACAACCCTGCCATGTATTTTGTTGTTGCTATAGAAACGTAGAATGTCAAAAAAAAAAGGAAACACGTTCGACCAATCAAAAGCAAACAAGAAGGATGCTAATGTACACAGTGCAGCGAACAAAGGTGGAGTATTCTATCATTCTTGGCTAATGTACGTATATGTGAATGTGTATATGTAGCAAAGTTTGATAATTTAGATTTTTCACGAAATAGAAAAAAATCAAAACTGCAGCTCTGCTGCTACTTCCGAAAATGACCTATTCATTTAAACAAATTAATGCCCGATAAACAAACAAAGAATACTGGTGGAAATGTCGCGTTTATGTCGTTTTGTCGCAGTCTGTAAGTATGTATGTGTGTAATTTAATCATAAAACTAAGTTTTTTTTTAATAAATCCAGTAACAAGCCTGGAAGGTTCTAATTTATACATAAACGCAATACTTGATTTTTCGTTTAAAAAAATTTTGGTTTAATTTCGATAGTACTATCGTTAGTGAGAACTAAAACTATCGAAAATATCGAATAGTGTCACTATCGATAGTTTGACAACTCTATGCAACTCTGTATAGGCAAACTGGAAAAACATAAAATCGGTGCTAAAGGCGACTTTGTGAAAAGTGCTAGAAAATAAGTTAGTTTTTCGTCGTTTGTCTTCGTAGCGTATGGACGTGTGAGAAGTTGCAGCGGAATTTTGGAAGTGTTGCTGAAGAGTGGTGGCAGTTATCAATTTATCTGGTGTTCGACGCATAATATTAGTTTGAATTTATTAAAGTTATAGTTGCTGATTAAATTTGTTAAATACAATATAGGCACATTATTGTACACCTGAGTAGAGGTGTGTGAGCTCAAATTGTCGTTTTTATATCGGGTGAGTGCTTTTTCTGTGGCTGAAAATTTTCTAAATTATAAGTAGCGGTTGTTTCATACACAAAATGGCGGACGCCTCGGCGTCGCCGAGTGATGCCATCATGGCCGGCGTGTCTTATGGACCAACGCCTGCTATTATGGGTAAAAACGCAAAGACTAGAAAAAAAGGGAGACCTGCTCCAATTAATGCCAAAAAGAAGAAAGATAGTGGCATGCAAAATGCGAATTCCTTACTAGAAAACTTCTCTGATTCTAGCGAGGATATTAATTTTGTGCAAAATGAGCCTGAAATTCCACTTAGTGGCATGCTCGTGAAGCGTGGTACGTACAAGTTAGTTCAAACTAATCCCAGTGAAAATTGTGATACTGTGTCGGGTACAGTTATGACCAAAATTGTTTTTTGCGAGAGTGATGGTGAAGGTAAGGGGATTTGTGCCAGTGATGAGGGGGCGCACATGGAAATTGGCGACCAGGGCAAAATTAATGGAGATGATGGGGTTTACTTAAATTCCGGCAATTGCAATAATAGGACTGAAAAGAATAAGGCGGGTGTGACAAATGTGAAGAGTAGTGACTGCTCAGCGTTTCCCGATGGAAATGCTGTGACTAGCCTTAAGCAAGTTGTTGACGACGTTTATCGGACTGAGCATACGGCATGGAACACAGGTGGGGTACAGGTGATGTCAAATGAGCGTGGAGTTAAAGGCGCTGTTTCCAAAAATCAGAATAAAGAGTCTTCAAAAACTGGTGATAGTGCTGGTAATGATAGTGGGTACAGTCAATTATATCAAGTTGGCTATAGGGGGGAAGCTATTGTACTTATGGACACTTCCAAAAGTGTTAATTTTGAGAACAAAAGGTTGAAGAATGGACTTTTTTTATTTGATAAAATTCGGAAATTTAATTTAGAAGGGATGGACAACATCCTAGCCGTTGGAAGGTCCTTGTACAAGGTATTTTTCAACTCGATCGAAAATGCAAACAAGAGTGTTAGTAACAGCAAATTAAAAGAGATGGGTATTCGGGTTTTTATACCGAGAAGTTTTATGGAGACGTATGGAGTAATACGACAAGTGCCATTGGATTTTCAAGAGGATGAGATTTTTAACAACATGCAATCCAATATAAAAGTTAAGTCCATTTCTCGCATCACGAGGCGGGATCCGGACAATAAAGATAGATTTTTACCTACATTTTCTATCAAGATTGGGTTTGAGGGTAATGCGATCCCTGAAACTATTAAGATTTTTTGCGTGAACTTTAAGGTGTGCCACTTTTTCCCCAGGGCAAAACAGTGCTTCAACTGCGGGAGGTTAGGCCACACCAAATTATCTTGTAGAGCCAAAAACCGATGTATCATTTGTGGTAAAGACGAGAGGTGTGTAGGAAAGTGTACTGGAAGTGAGACTAAATGTATTTTGTGCGGTGGGGATGATCATGTGTCTGTCAACAAGAATAAGTGCCCAAGTTGGGAAAAAGAGAAAAATGTAATTGAGATTATGACGATAAAGAAGATGTCGAAGCGCGAGGTCTATGACTCTTATGGGGATACACTATCCAATAACAGATTTTCTATTTTAGAAGATTATGGTACAAATTTTCCTGTATTAGGTGGGAATGGTGGAAATATACAAGATAATGAGGTTATAGTTAATAGGACTCTGACTAAGAAGAGGTATAATCAGGTGACAAAAATGGATGTGAGGCAGGAAAGGGTAGTAAATAGTAAAAGCAAAAGTACTGAGATAAAAGGAGGTAGTAAACCGGTTTTTGAAAATACTAAGTGGGAGAGAACATCGGAGATTGAAAAGCTGTTAAATTTGTTAGTTGAAAAGTTTAATATTCAAGCGGATGAACCTATATTAAAGGTTTTGAGTCTTTTGGTTAAAGAAAATGTGAATGACAGACTTAAAGTTAGTTCAATCAATGATGGCAGTAAAGATTTTACAACTTAATTGTCAGAGCCTGAAAGCGAATCGTAGCTACATTGAATATTTTATTGAGCACAACAGTATTGATATTGTTGTTCTCCAGGAAGTGTTTTCCTTGGGGGATATTAAAGAAGGTCACAAGTTAATAGACTTTAATTTAGTTATTAAGAATCGTCCTGATGGATATGGAGGAGTTGCTATAGGGGGTAGGAAGAATATAAAGTTGCAGCGTGTAAGGTTTAATACAGTACATGACATAATAGTGGTTAAAACTACAAATCTTGATAGAAATCTGTTGATTGTTTCAGCATATTTTCCGCCTGGAACGAATAGGTTTCTTTTGGATTATGAGTTGAGTAAATTGTTATTGTTTTTGGATGGTAAAGAAGAGGTTCTGCTGCTTGGTGATTTTAATGCCAAAATGCGGGACTGGGGGTGTAATAAAGACGATCCTAAGGGTAGAGTGCTCAAAAATGCTACTATGAAGGCTGGGCTGGTATGTTTAAATAATGGCAATCCGACTTTTGTGGTAAATAGGGTGACTCAGCAGGGTTTATCTGTGCTGGATCTATCGTTCACAAATATTTCTGGAGGGTTAAAATGGGAATGTAATCTGGGATATGTTGGGGGAAGCCATCATAGGCCTATTGTTATTGAAGTAGAAAATGTAGCTAAAAGGCCTTATATGTTTTTGCAAAAGAGAAAACTTGCTTCTGCTCTTGCGGGTTGTGTTGTTAGTGGGGGACTGGATAGTATTGTAAATGCAGTACAAAATGAGATTAAGAATGCGTCAATTGATTTAAATTCTCTCAAAAGATCCCCTAAGGCTTGGTGGAATGAGGAGCTAAAAAAGCGTTTTAGGCTGGTTTTGGCGGCGAGGAAAAAAGCTGCTTTAACGAACCGTGTTCAGGATTTTGAAAAACTCCGACAATTAGAGGAGGTGTGGAAGAAAGAGGTAAAAGAGGCCAAAAGTAATAGTTACAAATCTAGAATAATGCAATTGAATGAATGTCCAAACTCTGGTGATGCTTGGAGATTTGTTAATCAAGTTAAAGGAGGTAGATATGGTACTAAGTGGATTAGTGAGGATAATGGCAGATATCTCACCCATCTTAAGAATCAGGTGGATCAGCAGGGTGGCAACAGTGGTTGGCGAGTCTTAAGTGGACCCAGTATGGTTAATGAAAGAGATGAGGTAGTTAGTTTCTTGGTTGAGGATCTGGATGTAGTGTTAAAACGTAAAAAGAAATCTGCTGGGGGAGCTGACAGAATTACGTTTGATATGGTCAATAAACTGCCATATGAAACGAAATTATGTCTTGTGAGAGAGTTAGAATCTTGTTTCAATAGTAACATTGTAAAAGAGGAGTGGAGAACGATTAAGATTGTTCCGATTCCAAAAGCCAATAAAGATTTAAGTGATTTCAGGAATTTTAGGCCGATTTCATTACTTTCTGTTGTGGTGAAATGTCTGAACATGTTAATTAAGGATAGATTGAATAATTGGGTTGAAAGCAACAATATCTTACCAGGCAATAGCTTTGCGTATCGCAAAGGGAAGTCGGCCTCGATGTGCCTAAATGAATGCTTGCATTGGGCTGGTAGGCTTAAACAAGGGAAAAAGAAAGTGTTTATGTGTGTATTAGATATATCTGATGCTTATAATTGTGTTGATATCTCACTGCTGGGGGAAATTTTGGCTGGGTTTAGGGTGGAAAATAAGATTCGTAACTGGGTGGTAAATTTCTTTTCCAGGAGGGTTTTGGTTTTGGGAAAAGATAGGGTGGAGGTTTCAAATGGTCTTCCTCAAGGTAGCTGCTTATCGCCACTGTTGTTTAACCTATATACTGCAAGTTTGCACTGCTTGGGTGATGATAACATAAAAGTCTTTCAGTTTGCTGATGATTTTGCGCTATTATGTAGCGGGAACAGTTATTGTGAGGCAATTGATAGGTTAAATTTTAAGTTAAATGAAATTAGAACCATGCTTAATAGCTTAAATCTGAATATTAATGTCAGTAAAACTAAATTTCTATTAATGAATTCAACTAGTAATAAAACGTTTTCGCTTAGACTGGATGGGACGGAAGTGCAGCAGGTAAAGAGTATTAAATGGTTGGGTAGGACCATTTGTGCTAATGCGTCAATAAGTAATCATGTGGATAAGGTAAGAAGCGCTGCAAGCTCAGGCAAAAATCTGATTAAGAAGCTTACGACTATTAAGGGGGGGTTGGAACCCAAAGTGGCTATCAACTTCTATAAAGCCTTTATTAGAAGTAAAGCTGAATATGCCAACACGACTTATGCTAATGCTCCTCGAGGGTTTAATAAGAAACTGCAGGGTATTTCAAATGATACGCTAAGGAGGTGTCTAGGGCTTCCACCAAGTTCTCCTATTCATGCGAGATTTGTATTGGCTGGTGAGCTGCCGCCTCTTAAAAGGGCGGAATGGCTTGTGGCCAAGGAATTAGGCAAGCAATGGCTTGTGAATGAAGAATTGAGGAAAGATTTGATGGGCGAGAGCTCTGTTAAATCGAGCTACAGTTTTATTTATTCCAAGTTTCGACATCTATTTAACAAAATTAATGTAAATGTTACTTTTAGTAGACATACTAATTTTCGTGTGGAGAGTTCTTCTTTGGGAAGGTCCAAGTGTGAGTTTAGTAAAGAACAACTTAATAGCATATTCAGATATAAATTTAGCAAATGGGCTGAGGTAGGGTGTTATCTGTTGGCTACGGATGCATCAGTTGTGAATAATGTTGTAGGTTTGGCTTTTTATGACCCTCAGCAGAAAATTTCGGAAATGTTTAAGCTGGATGGGAAATATTCATCCACGTTTGGAGAGTTAGTGGCGATTAGACAAGCAGTTAGCTTTTTACTTAAAAAAAACATAAACAGGTGGGTCATAGTCACGGATAGCCTAGCGGCGGTACGTTTGATAGGAAAGAAGGCTTCTACAAATTTTATAGTTGCGTCCATTCACAATATGATTGCTAAGTCAAATTGTGTCAGTGCCATGTTGGTGTGGGTGCCTAGTCATGTAGGTATTGGAATTAACGAAAAAGCGGATCATTTTGCAAGGGCTGCAGTTAGTGAGGGATTACCCATCGAAATGGATCTCACCTTGGGGGAGGCTGTATGTAAGATTCAAAGTGCTATTTGGACTGAGTGGGAAATGGAGTTTAGAGAAATTAGTTGTACTAAAGGTAGTTTTTTTGCGGGTAATATCAGTGATATCAAAAGGCGTCCTTGGTTTACTGACAAAAAATGTAATTTCGATGTTCATGATATCAAATTAGTTAACAGGTTGATGATGGGGCACACATATGGTAGGACGTTTCTTAGCAAATTTCTAAGAGGTGTAAATGATTTATGTGATGTATGTGGAATCAGAGAGACTAGTGATCACCTTATTTTTCAGTGTAGTAAATTTTCAGCCGCTAGAAGCACGTATACCTTTTTTAACAATTGTAATAATTTAAAAGATTTTTTTTAATAATTCTAATTTGTATCTTTTTAGTGAGCTAATACACTTTCTACACAAGGTAAAGCTGGACAAAGTCCTTTAGGGTTAATGAGATTGAAATATACATTAATAATAATAAGTATAGTAATATATGTGTACATATAGTTATGTATATTAGAAGAGTAGAGTTTGGAAAAAAAAAAAAAAAAGAAAACAAAAAAAAGATAAAATTTCGAGTAATTGAAATTCGTAGTGGTGATTTTTATTGCAAAAGACTGTTCATTAAATGATTGTATTGCATTTGTATGGCTGTGATTCGCACCCTTGTAGTGCTTACTAAAGTACAATTCGAGTACAAATTATTAAAAAAAAAATAAAAAAAAAATAAAAATAAAAAATATATAAATAAATTAAATTATAAGAATAATATTAATTAAGAATGGAGTCAATGTATTCTGTTTAAAAAAAAAAAAAAATGTAGATTACTATTTTTTTTTTGGGTGTAATCCCATATTTCTGAAGTGCCTAAATTGCTTTGTGAGGTCAGTTTAAGTTACTTAGATACGTTTTTACTTCTAATTTTGTCACTGTGTAATTCTTTGCGTCTTAGTTTTTCTGTTTCTAGTTGTAAGCCACCACTCTTGGTCTTCGTGGGATCTTCCCTTCGCTGGACCTGCCTGTGTGGATATACGCTTACGACAAAGACGAACTAGAACTTGCTAAAGTTGTTTGGACAACCTGGCCCCTGAGGTTAATAAGATACCTGGCCAACGTTTTAATGTCTGACGACATTGCTAATTAAAAAAAAAGAAAATAAGTTATTTAACTTAAAAACGCAAAATAATTGGTGAAAACAATGCATTAACAACCTGAAAATCCGTTGGCATATTTGGTGTACACTTAGCAGACGCCAATATGATGGAAATTCCTATACAAGTAGCCGTGAGAATCTACCCCTGCTTACCACCGGCTGCAACAAAAGTATCAGCACCACTACCATCAGCTGGCAATGTAGATACCAGATCGAATTTAGGGGCAGATGTGGATTTGGAATTAACAACGCAAAAAGACGATAATGGTAATTTTAGCACACAAGTAGGCGACGAAAAAGTGGAAACGGTTTTGCCAAACGAGCCATGTGCAAATGAACCCTCGAACTTCTGCGTGCAAGCCATTCCTATGGCAGCGCCAGCTTTTCTAAATGCGGCACCTACAGCTCTGCCTGGACAATTGGACATCGGCATAGCTGCCGGACTAATGCAGGTAGGACCGCATTCCTTCCCAGTGACTCATGCTCTTCCCTTGGATTGCACGCAGAGTCAAATTTACCACCAAACGGTATTTCCGCTGATCAGCTTGTTCATGGAGGGATTCGATGCATCGGTGGTAACATATGGTCAACGAGGTACGGGTAAAACATACACACTTTATGGCCCCGGTTTGAATTGTGTATACGGTGAGTCTGAACAGGGCGTTGTGCAACGGTGTGTGCGAGAAATATTTGCGCACATGGCAAACCATCCAGGTAAGTTAAAAAAATGTGCTTTTACTTATTCATAATAATATGATTTAAAACAGAACGTACCTATGCTGTAAATATCGGTTGGGTTGAGATAATCGATGATGTTATACAAGATCTTTTGGGCGTGGGCAATGTGCATTGTGAAAGTATCACCGATGTTTTCCATTGGTTACAGCAGGGTTTAACGGCTAAACAGCAAACGGCGACCCAATATGAAGAGGTTACCCCCAGAAGTCATACCCTTTTTACGCTTACACTCGAACAACAATGGGTTTCAAAAGAAGGTCTCATTCAACATCGCTTATCCACAGCTAGTTTTTCCGATTTATGTGGCTCCGATCGTGTATTTATGTTAAATTCTTTGGATCAACCAACCAGCTTGCCCAAAGATGTTGGTCTGCAAAC